GGTCAATTTTTAGGATCAACCAAAGCTATGAATGAAAATAATTCGTGGGATAATGCCAATAGAAATGGTTCCAATCACCAATATCCATCCTTATCTCCTAGTCCTCCTTTTTTTCCGGCATTCTCATAAAAACTTTTTCGGCAAATTACTAAATCATTTTGCAGAATATGTCAACGGATTTCAAGCACCGACTCACCAGACTTGAAGGCGCATATAAGATAAGATGTGAAAGGCAAAAAATAAGAAGACAGTTTATCATAAAACATAAGCATTGAGAACTTTGATTATATTGTGTTACCATAAGGTTCCGAAAACAGGGATAACGAGAAGCGTTCAATATCAAATTTGTGTTTAAGCAAATAACGGGCAATCATGAAGAGATCAAAAGACCGCTCGAGCTTTCAGGGTGATTTGCTCAGCACTACTGTACATTAAGTATAGCTAATTCCTTGGGCTGCAAAACTCACCCGTTGATTTTTTCGGTTAAGCGGATAAAAATTACGTCGCAAGAAGTGACGAGAATTAAAACAATATCGAGCACTGCAACTGTTTCCATATGTTAATGTGCTGATCACTTGAATACTCATTAACAGACTGATAAGTATCCTGAATTCGGGAAATTATTCATCCGTAATGTGCAGTGTAATATGCTGTGTGCTCCATTTATAATGTTATAATCATCTCAATGCAAATGAAAATAAAGATCATTGAGGAATAGTGTTTGTTTTATTATGTAGTTCCTATCTGACCACTGATCTATTCCAGAACCATCCAAAGGGTGCCACAGTAAGTAAGCTTACCGTTATTGTATATGCTGAACCCGCTAACTACATCCCCTCCCAGATATCCTACAAATCAGAAACTTAATGAACACACCACAGCAACCTTCAGCAGTAACTCCGCACAAATCAAATTTCCAATTCTGTTTTTCTAGCCTAGCTTATCAATGTCTGGTATTTAATGGCCCGTCCATCGTTGAGATTAATCGGTTTGACTCTAAGCTGGGTTGTCTTGATATCCATTTCTTTTTTTGTCTTGTAGGTGTATCGTCGTCCCTGACAAAGCAGATAGATTTATCAGTCACGTAAATATAACGGATGAATTGATTTTGGGACGGAGTGATAAGCATGAAAGGATTCTTTTGAATAACAAACAATAGTAAGTGAAGACAAAGATTTTTGAAATCTTGGAATAGCGATGAGACGATTGAAAGCTGATCATCATCGGCGGAGACACTCAGCAGTTCGGTGGCCACTTTTTTAATTTGATTTGTCATAGAAGAAAAAGAGTTCCAGTCGAAAAAGGCTGCATAGGATTTTTGCTTTTGAAACTGTTTGTTCTAAATATTAAAAGTTGGATTGGAATAAACAGGTTATTAGTTGTCGCTATCTACTTCTTATTTCTTCAATCATTCAAGAAGGCGTTTGGCTGTTTTTGATTATCACAATTTTCTAACGAACATGTTACTTTCTTCAGATGCTAAAATTTTCAACTGATTGAAGGAAAAGTAGTTCTGAAAAGAGAAATTAAGATTCCTTTACTTGCTAATAAAATTCTTTTACTTGCTTGGTGAAATTTTCGCAAGAACATGTCGCTTTACGATATATTCGGCGAAGATCCGGTCCATGAAAAGGGAGACGATGGTCGATCATCTAAAAAAGGTTTTTCGTTGACTAAATTAGTTAAAATGATTTATCCCCACGCTTCTCTTTATTCTGTTTTTTGTTATTTTCTGGTATTTTTGTCTGATATTAGCTTCTTTAGTGGATGTCTTGCTTTGTCGTGTAAATAGCGTCTTTTTTCCTATATTGTAATGTGTTTATGTCTACCGTTGATTCATCCTCAAAAAGAGATTCAGGTCTTCCATCTGCTTTGCGGCTTCTTCAGTCACAGATACATATTAAAAAAACACAGTTGGCCCAACAGGTTTGCTTTTCTTTTTATTTTGTTAAGATCAGACTCTGCAATTATGAAAATTGATATTTCACTGAAGACATAATATGTTTGATGTAACTACTGCATTTTTTTCAGCGAAGTGTGGTTACACCTGTTGTTGACTTATCTGCAAAAAATCGCCCCTCGAAGACCACTTTATTGCGCCCCCATAAAACAATGCCTCTGGGCGATGGACCACCACTTTCATTCATACCCAAAGCACTGAAAGAAGACAAGGTATGCTCTAAGCACATGCAACTAAAAAAAATTGGACTATTAATGTCAGAAATTTTTATTATACAGAAATCATTATTCAGTATGTTTGTAGGTATTTATTTTTGGTGAAGTTTTGGTTGAAGATGAATACAACCCTACAGCTCCAACCGACTATGCTAAACATAAGCAAAAAATGGATGAGAGAAGAGCAAAAGAAAAAATTGCAAAAGAAATTGCTGAGAGATTAAACAGGTGTTTCATATCGTTATTAACTGCTATCCGTACCTATGGAATAAGAATTATGAGTTTCTTTCTTGAAGATGTCATTTGTAATCTGGGCTTTCTTTTCCAGGGAGCATCAGGAAGAAATTGCAAAACGTACAGCTGGAGCAGCAATTGCACCGCCCAAAATTCTCATGGAAGAAGACAGTAAAGTTGAACCACCAACAGGATGTGGTACTGGCAGTACAGCTTCTGAAATGCCACCACCTTCATTTATTCCGTCATTTGGTGCTGGAAAGGGGCTAGGAGTCGCTGCTAATATTATGTCCAAGTTTGGTTACAAGGTGCAAGAAGAATTTTGTTGTTAATTTTTTGTCTTGTAAGTTCAGAATATTCGAGAATGATGTTTCCGAGAAATGATTTTAAAAAAAGTTAAAATGTGCATTTAAAGTGATGAATTTAATGACTGATTTTAGTGGGGTTGAATTTGTCAGCCGCAAGTTTGAAATAATTTTTGCTATTATTTAATTAGTGGTACTGTTCGTGTTTAATAACGATGATCTTAAACTTTTTTTTTTTTTTAGGAGGGCGCAGGTTTGGGACGATCTGGTCAAGGGATGAGCACGGCTTTAAAGGTTGAAAGGCTAGGGAAGAATTCAGGGGTCATAGTGAATGAACACGAACTAAGCGTCCGAGGTTTGTTTCAAATATCATATAAAAAATCTGAATTAGCTGATTGTTGTTTTTATAAAATTTCTTATATCTGGAATGGGTTTTTTGGATATTTACCAATTTCATTGCAGCTGAAGCATCTACTTCACCTCCACCGTTACCAACCATAAATGCAACGCCAGCAGTAAATATGACTGAAGCGCTGAAGCAGTCATCGCGCATACTGTTGCTGCGGGTATGTCGTATTGAAAGTTTTTAAAAGCCAACTGGAGAGTATGGTGAGTAATATCATTTTGTAACTGCTTTATCGGTTTGGATGTTGCAATAATTTTAATGCAGTCCTCTGGACGAATTGCTGACAGTTAACGTAGAGAAAGTGCGGTAGAAATCTAAACTTTTTGCGTTTGTTTATTCTCGAATGTTTCTATTTTTTGAAAATCTATTGCGGACCATTTGTTTAATGTTGGGTTGTCAGCTCATGTTTTATTACTAAAGTTTTCCAGAATATGGTTAGCCCAGATGAAATTGACGACCAGCTGGAGCCAGAAGTAAAGGATGAAATGAAGAAATATGGACAGGTCAATAAAGTTGTCATTTTCAGGGTATGTTTTTGTTCTGAAAGAGATCGCCTCTAGCTATCTCTTGAGGGGATAGCGGTAAATCTTACTTTCTGGTATTTTAAATAAATTTATTTGAAATTCTCCGGAAGCTGTATCTGGGATTTCTTTTTTAATTTTACATATTGATTTGGTGATTCATCATTTAATGTCATGTAACGAAGGGTGACTCAATATGAATCAACCTCATTTTACATTCCGCTGTGATGTAGGTTCCAGGGCAATACAAAGTATTTTTTCTGTTTTCGGAAGGTTGGTTAAACATTAAATTAAGAACAAACGCTGAAGTGTCCAGAATTTGTGTAAAGTTGTGATGATATAATTTTAATATTCACGACAATTTAACGCATGCTTCTTTCCAGCTCCTTCAAGTCAGCGATGATGAAGCAGTCCGCATATTTGTCGAATTTACAAACGTAGGTCAAGCCATAAAAGCATTCGTTGATTTGAACGGGAGATTTTTTGGTGGTCGCTCCATTAAAGCATCATTCTATGATCTCGAGGCTTATAATGCTAATCAGTTTGATCGATGAGTTTGCTATCACCGCTTTGCAAATTTATTGTTGTAATCACTGTATGGAAATCATTTAAATCACTTGTAAAACAAAATTTCTGACAGGAATTTCTTTTGCAGTTTACTCGTTACTTTTCTCAACTAGCTCGTGCAAATTTAATCAATTCAGCGGTTGATATTGGGTTGCAACTTGCTTTGTTCTGCGCAGAATAGGCCATTTTTTGGTTTGAGAATTTTATCTTGTGGAGACATTTTTAATAGATCACAAATGGAATTAGTCGTTTTTGGATGTAAGAGTACGGAACTTAAGTGAATCAATTTGTTCCCATATAATGATAGTATTATTCTAATATTGTACGATTTTAAAACTCGCTCCATATGAAGTTCTTGTAAAGGTTATAAATAAAACTAATCGTGTACAGATTTCATTGCGTCAGCCATAATATTTCCATATGTCAGGTGGAGGCCATTTGGTCGATTCTCGAGTTTTGTATTTAACTTTAATTTCTAGGATTCTTGAATGTTCCAAGAGGTTAAAGCAATTAGTATTCCAACATGCTGTAAGAATTCGCTTACTAAACTGGCCAGGATTCCAACCTCACATTCTTAAATTTCCGGGCATTTGTTATTTAGTGCCATTGGTATGTTGTGATTTGTCATGCACTCAGTGTTGCAAATGCTTTAGTAGTTCGTGGCATTTGTTTAAGGTGCTATGATTTTTGAACTTTTCTCAATATGGTCGAGCTTTTTTTGGAACATTTCTAGATTAAGTGCACTTAGGAAATATTCGACAACGATCTGATAATAAATATCCACCAGCCATGATGGAAGTTACTACAAGAGTTGCTAGTATTGACCATCACAGGATGAACCAGGCTATACATCAAGTTGCAGAAAACAGCTTCAAGGATTGGAAAAGTAAATTTCCTTTACCAGTTTCTATTAAATTGGAAAAAATGCAGAATGAAGTCCTCTTAGTCATCGACACTCTTGTATGGTTTAACCGGTTCAAGAGCGGTGAGTTTTCTTGTGCTTTTATCATTATTAAGTCATTTTTGTTATTAGAGCTCATAAACTTCAGATGTTATTGTATTGACGCAAGCGGGCCTGTGTTCGGTTTTATGAATGAACAATTTTTAACCTATTTTTAAACTTGCGGGATTCCTCTTGAAATGTCCAACTTCTTAAAAGATTTGTTAATGCTGATTCAAAATTGTAATATTCATCAGGATGGAACTTGGACGAGCTCTCTAAGTGGCAACCAGTTCTTCATTTTATGCTTTCGGTTCTGGCACCTTACATTCAGAACCGTTTGCTTTCCTCGTATAGTCGCAATATCAGATGGATACATAAGGTGGCCGCCACTTGTCGTTTAGCAAATTTTTTGCAGCTTCTGCATTTTTATCATAAGGGTGGTTATCAAAACCTTACGGAAAGAATCACGCGCTTAAAGAATGTCAAGGAAAGAAGGCCGAGGGAGACACTAGGTACGATATTATTTGCCAATTTGTTAGAATTTTTTGGTATAGAAAATAAATTTTAACTCCCTAGAATAATTATAATAAATGTGTTAGCTGATCAAATTACTATTCCCAAAGCTGACAAAAGATTTTATTTTGTCAATGTCGTTTAATTTTTATAAAGAAAAAATGCACGTGAACGGCAAGATGAATACTATACATTACATTGTTCTCTATTTAAATTAGAATAATTACAAGGAAAATTCTTGTACCACTCATTAATATGCGTATAGAAAGTATAAATATACAAACAAAAGGCATTTCAATTAATCTATAGCTTTATTAAAAAATTCATAGCGGTAAGAAATTCCAAAGATAAATGAAGATTGTCTCACGATATCAGTCTGTTTATTAAACGCCTCGATAATATGTAAGAAACATACTAAATTCTACCTAAAAATGAAATATACAATTCTCCAAATTCAGCCCCTACTCTCTGTACATATTTGAAATTATTCTTGTAAAATGAGGGCTCTGGGAAAAGCTGAGTTTTTTTTTGTTTTAGCTGCGGTCAGTTATTTCAATTATAAATACATCAGATACATGAGGATATTCTTTTACAATTACTTATACATCTTCTCTTAAGTGAACAAACAAGAAAGAAATTTGACTGAAACTAAAGTTTAAGATAAAAGGAGCCACAAAAAAACGCTTTATGACACGAAGGAAATATGGATCTCTAAATTAAAAAATTTGGAGCGTTATTTTGCTAGTTTGAAAAACGGATGAAAAGATCCATAAATAAAAATACTGTGCATTGAGGAAGAAAACACAACAATCAAAAAATGATTTTCATATGTCATTTATTAGCAGTACGAAGTCTACGCATCCAGATTATTTAAATATCTATCTATGAAGTTTCCGAAGATTTTCCTAGCCAAAATTTCAATTTACTTTAGGCTTGTTGAATTTTGAGACTCTAAATCGAAAGCTGATGTGGTGTGTATTTCGAGATCTTATGGTTCTTTCGATTTCGCTCAGGAATTGTTTTGCGAAGACAACAAGACATGAAAGAGGTGAGGAGCACGCAGATCTAATGGAAGCAGTATGCATACAATGTCAACAGAGAGTCGTGATACCAGTGAAAAACGTTACCTGCGGACATATTTCCTGCTATACATGTTATCACACCGAACCGTTTTGTGCAGTATGTGGAAGCGTTACGAAATCAGATTGTTTCCGTTTTCTACAACTATAGAACCGAAACTTGTAAAATGTGAATGTTAGTGCAACATAGCCTGAAACAGTATTTCTTTACTTTCTTAACCCAATTTACTGGACAAGTGCTGTACCTTTCTTTTTTATACTTAATTTTTCTTTCTACATTATAATGATTTACCATTATCAACATAATATGTAAGGAACTATAACTCATAATTCCTGCATAAGATACAGGTTCTTATGTGGTTTCGTCATACAAACTTTCTTGTCCTGTGTAATAATAACCAACTTTACCAATGTTCCACTAACTCACAGTTTACGACTTTATATTAATCAACTCAAATTATAACAGATAGTTATTAATGAAAGAATATAAGAAAAGAATAAAGGAGGGCCTTATAGGTAACATAAATTAGAAAGACGAACTCTTATACCAAATCGAGCTAAACTTAAAATGCGATCAAGATAGTCTACTTATGACGGATGTCAGCGATTTGTTTGCGATTGGTGATAGAAATTTATGTCAGAGCTGCTCGGCTCAATAATTCATAAACCTGAAAAACATAATCTTTGCCTTCTTATCTTCTTATCACCCATCCTTTCCTTCCCTATTCCTTCGCTTCCCTATTCTCTGCCCTTTCCTACACAAGTGTCGAGTTTCCTCTCAACTTTTCCATTCGTTTCCTACCTCATTTCGCGGGACCAATTCCTCATTTTTTACTTTCTGATTTGTGTATTGAACGATTCGAAAATCAGGTAATCTGAAATGAGCAAGACCTGCCTATTCAAATCTTCAAAAGTTTTGAAATTGTAAGATGGAATGGGCCAAATATAATTAATGCAATGCTGACTAAGGAAGGAATTTCCCATGAAGTTTGTTATTTTCGCAACGAAAACGAGATTGAGAATGAAATAAAAACATTCAATCAGAATGACTAAGAAACCATTACAAAGAGGTCTTAGTGACTGTTTTTCTTTATCTTGATACTGGCAGATATTGATGGATAGCGGAAGCATTTGCCTACGATATTGATGTAAATTTAAAATTTCGGAGCTTATTGAAATCATTGATTAGCTCACTGCACTAAGAAACAGAACACTATGCATAGAGACTGAAATATCTAACGGAGCTAATAAATTTCTTCTGCTCTTTTATTAAGTAGGGGGAATTGACTAGTGCCTTTAGGTATTTCAGTCTGGATGCGTAAAGTTTTAACAAAAACCACATTATCATCTGTTATATCCACTTCTAACCAGATATACGAAGCAGAATAATCGTCAGGATGGGGATGATATCGCATTTGCAATTTGGACTGTTTGATTAGTCATTATTCAGGTTATTGTTGCGAATTATTTCGCTTGATTTGTTAAGCAGGTGGGAAGGAATTTGTACTTAAAAGTCTATTGAATAAGGCGTTATAAGGATATGAGGCGTACATGAACATTTGTTCACATATGACACTGCTATCGTAGATCCTAGACTTAACAAAATGTGATCTGTAGTTATAATACCCTATTTAATTGGAGCGATATTGGTATTGTCAAAACTTTATTATTCTTGATGATAGATTTTAGTGGCTTCATGAATTCTTATGTTAGTGTTTTACTTCCGAGAATTTTTAAGTCTTCATCGGAGTCTTGACTTCTTAATATGTGCAAAGGTTTGTATGAATTTATTGGACACTTGTCTGCATAGCATATAAAATCGAAACTTCAAAAATCGGAATGACATTCCAAGATGATAGTTTATTATTTCCGATACTGACATTGCTGGCAGCAAGAAAAATAATCTCATATATTCGAAATAATTCTTAAGTGGTCCATAAAGGGAAATTCACGTACTTTAGATGTGGTCTATTTCGTTTAATTATTCCCTAATGAAGGCTGACGGCAATTTGAACAATGAGTAGCCATAACTAACAGTTCAGTAAACTACGGTAGTATTTTTGTAATCTGTTTAAATGTCTAGACTGTCTTCCATCGTGCTTCAATATTGCTTTAAGGATTATGCTACAGTGACTTTGATTTTTGCGAGAAGAAAATGGAGGAGGCGGTTAATATTATAGACAGCTTTCCCGTGGTTCATGTTTCATATTTGGAAATGTCCAGTATTCACCACCATTGGGAAACAAACTTTCTCAGTGATGTTAATGACAGATCATCCATTCCAAAAGCATTAAACAATTAGGAAAAGTTCGTTTAATAATTATTTCAAATATTTCAATGATACAGAAATTGCAATTTGAACGGTTTTTTTTTATTATAAGAAAATCTTAGGGAGAAAGAGATAGCAAAAAGGAATTGAAATTTATTGCGCAAAAAGCTGAATAACTTACCAACGCTAATGTTCATCTCTTCTGGATGAAGCCATGGCGGAAGTTGCCACCATATAAAGTAAGCTGGTGAGCACAACAAGGATAAGCAGATTAACAATAAGAATAAGAGTGTTCTTATCAAAAGTTCTTTCGACAACCTCAACAATACTCTGTTTACGAGATGCAGGAGGCGCCATTGTCCAATTTTTGCAGTTCTTTGAATTCGATCCACAAACACTGACAGCGACACACACACACACGCACAACACAGGCTGAGTTCAGGATGAATGTAATAACTGTTTGAAGGTTCTTTCGTCGCTTATTTCTTTCGTCTGGGTGTTAGCTGGATGGATGGATCAACTGCACTCTTTCCCTTCTGTTATTCAGTGAAAATTGCTAAGATTTTCTAACTCCTAGAAAACAACTGCCACCTGATGTAAGCTTCACCAGAGGGACAGGCTCTACAAATACTCTACACAACGATGCACTATTGCAAGTTTCGCATTTCATCATACCGCCTACTTTATTATTCTCAACAGTAGTCATACACAGTCCTTAGAAATCACTAGGAATTTTCTTGAAAATAATTTTTATTTTTGTAAAAATCTTATAGAATATTTCCAGAATTTGTATATACAAATTCAATATCACTGCCTTACATCCAGTTCATAATTAAAGGATTTAAATCTTGCAACGAAAGGCAAAAGTAAACCCAAGCGGAAGACAGTTATATTTCTGGGTAGCAGCACATATTAAAAGTAATGGAGTACATTGAATATTATATACGAGAGGAAAAAATGTGTTCTTTCCACAATACGGTGGTGTTTTTAACAGCCGAAATTGACATCTTTTATTATTTTTTACATCTGAGAAAGAAAAATGACGTGTCTTTATAAACTCTTCTAAAATCATAATCGAATTTGAAATTAAGAAATCTTGATGTACTAGCCATCGTCCAGACCCCTCGGTCATTCACCATGCGCGTTCCTTATTCGTCCAACCTTATGCGATTGTCTCAGGCCCTTTTATGAATTTGTGAACATTTAAAATGGATCTGTGAAATTTTTGCACAATCATAAAGATTCCACCACACGTCCGTTTTTTTCCCTCATCCTATTCCCGCTGAAAAAAAGACCAAGAGTTATCTCGACGCAATCTTTGTCCACTGGAAATTATTACCTTTTTTGATATGAGGCTTTCGGAAGTGTAAGTATATGAAATATAAGCGATAATGGGGTATTACAAAAAATACGATTTCTTTCCATAATATGTTTCACGAACCATTAGGAAGTGTTTGGTGATTGTAAACGGTTTTGATTTTCGTGGATCATATCACATATAGATCACTAAAATTCGTGATTACGCATATTGTTGTATAGCATATTAGAATTTTAACTTAATGCGGACAAAATCAGCTATACGCTTTCTCTAGCATCGCTAAGGACGCAGTCGTGATGTAAAAATGACCGATGAAACCTTCATCCTAGTGAAGCCTCTCTTGCAAGTTAAAATTCCTCAATTCATCCTGACTATCCACACTACAAAGCTTCTTGGCCATGCAGACGGTAATATCATAAGTTGCTGCAGTGCAAAATAGAGTTTTGCTTCTAGAATGTACTTTTCATAACAAAAGGTATTGTGTTTGATGACCATTTCCCTTGAAATTCCGTCATAAAATCTGATTGTGAGTATAAACCATCATGGAATAAATTTATTATATGGACAGATAGTTCAGTGTGAATTTTCATCGCAATTACGAAATAAACTGTAATTTTCCAGCAAAAAACACTTTCCCCAATAACCTTGAAAAGTAATTTTTCCCAAGCTATCAACAAGCTTTCATAAAGTACAGTATTTTGCATCGTTTTGATAGTATACTAATCAGACTGATCAGAGTATGACAGTTACTCAATTAACTCAATTAACCTTGACGATCATATTTCTGCAAACTCGATCAGTAGGAAGCCAAATAAACTTATTGCTATCATAATATCTTTAAACTTTTAAAAGCATAACATAAAAACTCTAAGGAATCAAAATATAAGCGAAGCTGAACAAAGTAAAGACTGAACTGAATCTGAAACGATCCTTAATTCATACTTACTATGTGATAAACTTCACCTACAATTAGCTAAAGCTTCATTTCGTCAATCTGAACGTCGAGTTCAAACAATTTTTCCTGCACGAAGTCAGCAAGTGCTTTTCGCCTTTCTGGTACGGAGCCAGCGAGGAACCTCCACATATGTTCTTTCATATCCACTTCAGAACCTATCATTATTATGACATGCTGCAACATGAGAATACTCAGACGAAAATGCTTTATGAGGATTTTTAAGCACTTGAACGCAGTCCAATAGATGGCCACTAAGCAAAACAGTATCAGAGGACATCACAATAGAAAATTCGGAATTCAGGCAATGTAATATGGATTGCAATATACGAAAAATGTGTATAAGGTTATATTTATTACCTTTCCTATTCTAGGATAATATGGTTTCGACTGAGGCCAGACCTCAGCCATTTGGTGTATCCATATAGGTAAAAGTAATGGAGGATTTGGACTTTCCATAATCTGAAATTTGGTGCGTTTATATATCTCAGAGATGAAGACATTTTAATGAGTACATATAAGACATAACAGTGACATACTGCTATTTCTTATCTATGGATCTATAGAAAAATCTGAATGATCATTTGTGAGCGTAATAATTGCATACGGCTAAGAAGAAAAAACAATGACAAAGTTGTAACCTACCATACGCGCTACACCCCACTTGATACGTATCGGAGTAGGTGTTACTTTACCTTCGGGAAAGACATGAATCCACTGATTTTCTGCAAGTTTTTCAATACAAAAATCAACTCCCCTTTGATAAACACCTTCGCCGCGCACAACGGGTACACATTTACCCAATGAAAAGAATCTAAAAATTTAGAAAAGTTAGGAATCAAAAAATCTGAGCCATAGATAGGTTTTTCTGAAATAAATTGACATCCGAAAAAAGTTTATGATAATTTTCATAACCTAAAATGTAAATTCTACTAAGAACGATGTACTAACAAAGTATGCCAAGCTTTGGTAAAGCATATGTTATGTGCTGCCAAAGTGTACCGGAATCTTGATATGTTAGAGAAAAATTCGCGCCAAGTGAAAAGACCTGAAACAGGAAAATGGGATACCATTAAGAATTAATGCATTAAATATGATGAAATTGCTATCAGTAAAATAAAATCGGCACTTGCAGCATTTAGTCCTCAAATTCTTCTCCTATATATTAAACACTTACACCAAATTAAAGGATCATCCATGTTACTACGATGATTTGATACAGTGATCAACGGCCTCGACTTATTTTCCAGAGCGGATAGAAGTCGATTTTTGTTAATGACTGATATTTGATTCATATCTGAAGTTACGCCCTCAAAAAATTTGGCATTAAGTAACAACAGAACAAGACCATCTGGAGAGAATCACCGTAATTAAGAAGTAAAGTGCATCTCTCAAAAGGATAGCAAAACACCACAGCTAACAAGAATGCTAATTAAATTTCGGATAGCCGAAATACCATGTTGATAAGGATAGTATACGATTTATGAATAGGTAAAAACATACTTAACGAGAAAATAAGTTTACATGCTGAGAGGACTGCGATGAGAGTAGCCTTTGAAGCAAATCTATATAATATATTGGGATTATTTGGGAAGGGCCATTGCAACTGAAATCCATATGATTTGCCCATTTTCCTAATAACATTTCCAGCACCTGAAAACACAAGTATAATACTTCACACGAAACCTCCACTACAGCTAGAAAAAAATCGAAAACCTCCACTACAGCTAGAAGGGAAGAACCAAAGTCTCTGACTACCCGTAAACAGAATCCCTTTTGAATTCTACGCGACGCATGGCACACTTGTTCTGCTAGTGGTTGTTTTGTCGTTAATTGTTCGTCTTGACCTTTTGTGTTTTACAGGTTAAAGCAATGGAGGGTTTTCTTTTTTTCTGTAGAAAATTAGGCAGTGAAAGCTTCCCAACTAAAATTATCCATCATCTTATTCATTCTATTAATGATCCATAAACTAGTTTCGTTGACCTTTTGTTTTCATGATGCTGTGGGTTATCTAGTGGAAATTCTTTGTTACGGAAAGGTTATTCCGCAACTGGTAATCCAATCCAAGAAGGTGATGGCGGCAGAACAGTGCACCATTTCGGAATTACTGTGTGAAGCGGATTTGCTGTGGTACACGTTTCTCTTTATTTGTTTTTAATCTTATTAGTTGCATGCAATCTTACTAGTTTTAATCGTATGAGCAAAATTCATGAATGACAGCATTAAATAAGGGAATCATTGATAAAGATGCTCCTATTTTTGTACAAATTAAAGCAAACCAAAATTTTCATACAAATTAAAGCAGGACATAACTAAATGAAATTGTACGAAAATAAATCAAATTAAACTTGAATTAAATTCGTCGAAGTTATGCTGATTAATCGTAGAGCGTTTTAAAGCAATATATTAGCTAAGTGTTATTTATGTTCTATAAATTCTATACGGTTTCGAAAAAAGTCGCTTATATGCAAACATCAAATGAAATAGAGTGGAGACAAGTAATAGATATGTGGATCAATTGTTGAGAATGATAACTGATGGGAGCTTAAGAGCCTCTTTCACGAGGAATATGGGTGAATATGCTGTAGATAATCTCAGTTATTTTAGTTATGAACATTCTATGCGAACAGTTCTGAGGTTGCGTAATGCAGCCGATATGAGTTTTGTGGATGAGAAAGATCTGAACAAAATTGGTATGAGCAGACCGGAACAGAAACGTTTACAAGCGGCTTACTATCGAAGGTTTTCCAAGTCTTCGATTATGGGAAAGCTACGAAGGAAGATCCTTGGCAAAGGCACTAATTTCATTAACATATTGTCTCATTCACCTTTCGCTTGCAAATTACTGACGAGTTCCTATTAGTTGAGCAGTTACAGCATTGTCTCAGTGGTACTGCCACTCAGAATTGCACCCTTGCTATAATTATAAGCTTAGAATTCTAGTCTATTCCTGTTTTTTCAATACGTTTCGATAAAACGAAAAGATATCTGTATTGAATATTTTTTATAGGAAATTTGAAGAAAAAAGGACAACATTCACCGAGTTATCAAGAACAGCACGTGATACCTCTGGAAAATATTATCTTATCCAAGCAATTGGGGAAGGGCGAGTTCGGATCCGTTTATCAAGCCGCTTGGAATAATTCAAATAACATTGAACAAATACAGGTATTTGGTGCAAGAATTACGTGCAAGAACTTTTTTGCTTCTCCCGCTTTCGATTACAAGTTTAAACGCTTCTGACAAAATAACAGCTACTTTAGCATACGAAGCCTAATAACTTAAATTACTGTTGCAGGTAGCAGTAAAATGTATTTTGCCTGAGAAACTATTTGCTAATCCACTTAATTTTTTGCAAGAAGTCGCAGTGTTGCACAAAATGCGTCACGAATGCGTTGTCAGACTTTATGGCGTAGTACTGGATACTAAAGCAGTTATGCTGGTTGGTTTTTGGTTAGGGGAATGCATCTGTTTCTTCGCAGTAAATATATTCACCTAAGAAGGCAGCACCGTTTTAACGTTGTTTCTCTTAATTTCTTTATTTCTTTATTCAGTCTTACTTCAGTTACATTTGTGCAGGTATCCGAATTGGCACCTTGCGGATCATTACTGGAGTGTCTTCAAAAGCCCTCTCTACACGGTACATTCTTTGTGGATACATTTTGTAAATTTTCGGTACAGATCGCGCAGGGCATGAAATATCTGTCAGATGAGAGACTTATTCATCGCGATCTTGCAGCACGCAATGTTCTTGTTTTTTCTGTTGAAAGGGTAAACGGATTTTTTTTTTTTTCACTGTAACATGTGATAGATTGTGAAATAGTTCTATCATTATCTCTCAGAAAGTGAAGGCTGTAGACGTGTTTAGAAAGTGAAGCTAAGATAATGTAGAACAAATGAGACAGACAAAATGATAAAACATATTGGTACATTTATTAAGGGTGGAATGTCAAATCCCATAACTAATTGCAGGTGAAAATTTCGGATTTTGGATTAAGCCGTTCATTGGGCATGGGCGAAGATTATTATCGAAGCGAGTTTTCAGAAGCAGTAAAACTACCGATTGCGTGGTGTGCTCCTGAAGCTATTAATTTCCTAAAGTTTACATCTGCCAGCGACGTTTGGTCATATGGAGTGACATTATTTGAAATATTTTCTTTCGGTCAAATGCCTTGGGCTGGTTTTACCGGTGCACAGGTTGTTTTTATTCCGTCTTTCAGTGGTATTAAATCCTCTTCCAATAATATGCAACTTGTTGACATATTCTGTCTACAGTAAGTTAGTCCTTAGCCCATATTGTTCAAAATTTTTTGGTTTTTCCACCATAACTTTTCCTCTTCAGCCTATTGCTTTCTCAGATATTAGCAGCAATAGATTATCCAAATCTACAAAGACTGGAATGTCCAGACGCATGTCCGAGTGAATTTTATGACCTCATGATGCAATGCTGGGCTCACAAGCCGGAAGAGCGTCCTTCATTTACGGACATCGTACGGCAGCTTCCAGAAATTATGCCTCAGTGTTTGGTTACTGTGACATCTTGTTGCGATGGAATCATTGACCATCTCCAGTATTCAAAAAATGAAACCATAATTGTCCTCGATAAGTGGTGAGTGCTTAGTCTGTATTTTTAGTTGGATAATGATTTCTTCATGCATTTCTTATATAACCCCATTTTCAACATATCCCAGGTGTCCAGAGTGCTCACTCCAGTTCTGATTTTAATTCCTCCTCATTCCAACAAAATCTAGTAATCTAAACTGGAGTTTCAGTCCTCCGACATATCCAGATGGCTACTTCTGGCGTGGGTACATGCGAAATGGTCGGACAGGTTTATTTAGACCTGGAGAAACTGTTGCAAAGCTTGCCATTGAATTGCCAAACAACAAGTGCGATCAATACTTGTCACCAGTTGCCTTTTTAGCACATTCAAAAATTTTTTCTCATGGAAAAGAAAAAGTACATGACAAAAATAGCCGCAAGTTGTTGATAAGTGAGCCTCAAGGTGATGTCCACCACACTTGTCATGTTGGAGTTGATGGAACGGCCTTTGGATTATTACAGGTAAATGTTCATTTCATAAAACTGTCTCCTTCAGTGGTTTTGAATACGTACATTCTAAGTCAGACTCAATCATTAAGAATGTGTTTACACATGGTGATGGCGTATTGTATTTGTCACAACACTTTCGTATTTTGAAACAAAGTCACCAGTTATATAAATTATTCAAAATCTGGATTTCACCTCATTTTCCAGTTCAGTAAAAACGACATATCAGCAAAGTCGTCTGCGGCAGCTCATTGACATCCTCAATCCATACCATGCTATGTGTGTTTATTCATCATCAAACAAGTTTACATATTGGAATTAAATAAATCCCAGTTGTATGTAATTTTAGAATGATTTCTATCTTTATTGTTTTCAAAACACACCATTGTTCATAGGAATTGTTACTTTATTACATCTAATAAACGGGAATGTTTCAAAAAATTTAATGCCGGAGTATTAGCAATGAATGACAAACCATCATAACGGGTACTCTTAGTTATTAGATAGCCTTTCAATACTAAACTAATTTCCGGTTGATTCTTCGCAGAATTCGTGACATTGCATTATATCACTTCCGAAACTTCTTATTTTTTATCTATACGTGCTTAACCTTTAATTCCAGTGGTTTTCTTCAATTTTATCGATCACCAGTGCAAATGTGTTTTTACTGTCGTTTGCTCTAGCTTTGACATATTTGATCTTGCATAAAAATATTGTATTTGTAGTCTGATATGTCTAAATCTCTTTCTAATTCAGTCAGGGAACAACCTATTAAAATATGGAATGCAGGTGATATTTGATTGACATTCATATTATGATAACGGTGTCGTCCAGAGACTGAAGGACCTCATGATCATGAGCAAAAAATGCATTTGATAAAGGAGGAAAGTTCACTGTCTAGATAAAACATTAGCTCTACGTGAACAGGAATCTTTTCCATACTAAACTAATTGGTAATAGTAAGTTAGATCATTTAAAAAATGATCCTTAAAATTATTTCACATAGCGAAAAAACCCATCGAGCAGAAGTCGATGTGGAATTGTTCCGATATGAAAGCCGGAAAAAGTACTGACTTGGTTGACCTCGTGATCATTACTCTCGAACATCGATCAAACCAACCAGATTATTATATGGCAAGTCTCGTCTTTAACCTCAATTTTGTGAATAATTCCGGAATGGTATTGAGCAATCAAATATCAACAAGCGGATCAAATTTTAAACTTGGCTCAGGCCTGCATTTGAAAAATATACGATAGCAGCAGTCACTTTCAGATTTCACAGTGATGGTCTCTTGACTTTTACAGTTGATGACTCGAATTATAAAACATTTATTTTATTGCATTTATTTAGTTACCTATTTGGAGTAAACCGAAACATTAAAATCCAATTAACCGTATTGGTATTAGCCATCATTCATACCCGATTCTTGCTTTAAAATCGCCACTTGAAAGCGTTTAACATGTATAATGTCTAATTTGTCTATTGAAAAAAACGAATGTGTGTACACCATTACAAGATGTTCCTCCCAACAATGTACACACAGTCGCCAATAAAATGTATGCAAACTTACAATGAATGAAAGTGAATACATTTATTAGGAGAATGTAGCATGAACACTTATGTAGGGAATTAACGACTACTTGCACCACAGAAGATGGAAGATGGATGACAGCAATCAAGATGGAGCAATCACTGATAGAAAAATGAAGTATCCCCACTATTTACCATTTCTATCCTCTGGACAAAAACGGGACACATAAAACATCATAAAAAACAGCTCTTATCAACGGCAAGTGAAATTTCAAGGACAGAGAACTACATCGTCCAGATCCAATATACCAAAGACAAGAATCTCACTTTCTAAGCAAAATTAACTGTCCATGAGCAAAAGCCTCCGGAAAAATTATTACTACCGATACTTCTGTTACGAAATAATAATACGATAAGACCGATGATTAAGGTAGCAAATAAGCACTAGAGAATAATCGAAATGCAACTTACAAAGCAGACATCTCTCACTTACTGCTATGATATGCTTAGTGCATTCCGAGGAGATATCTTTCGGTTTAATAAAAACCAAATCTCCTGGTAACGAAATCTTAATAGATGCTTTCCAAACAACCTCTTGTCGGTTAGATACCAATATTATTTGAAAAAAACAAAAAGCATGCTGCCATCCCGAAATTCCAATTTCACTAAGTAGTCCAATCAAATATCGTTCGAGGGATATGGAGAATAAAGAACCTACTGCACGATTTCCACAATGGCATGCTAATGGACATAATCAGATAACTCTTACAATCCAAACTGTTCCGGAAGTACGACTAACAATTTTAACTTCCTAATTGATGTTTAAAATGTGGGTTTCAGTGTTTTTGCTATTTTAACTTCCTTATTGAAAAATAGTTTGCTGCTATAAACTGCTGTTTATGTCTTCCGGAAATTAACGAAAATGGAAACCCAACCCCAAAAACTTGAAAATGCTGGCAAGAACGCTGAAACCCACTCTTTATGTATATCTTGGTTCACCAATCCCTACCCCCTCTCCTACCTTAAACGTCATATCTTTTCATATGTTAAAATTCTAATTGTAATGATCTCTTTCCTTTTCATACAGTTTCAGAAAAATTAAAAAATTAGATACGTAGATATGGATGTTCAGAGTATCCACTTGCGATCAAACACCAAAATTCTCGTTATGTTATTAGAAACAGATGATATGCTCTTTTATACAGAAAAGAAACTGAGCAGTCAAGTATACATATATATATATATAAAACATATTGTACTGAAAAATACACCACTTTAAATCACCATTTAGATTTGTAAAAAAATGAAAATGTTCGTAGAACATGGAAGTTCACTAAACTTTAATTGGTGAAAGTTATTCTTACTACTCACTAACATCAGCTATTATCCCAGTTCCATCCAATGGATATCCATCAATCAGAAGACAAACAACAAAACCCTTCAGATATGCCATAGATTTTTGTATATAGGAACGCTGCAAATTCGCTCTCGAATTGCATACAAAATTAAACCTGCATTGCCCATATTCAAACCTTACATGTAATTACAGAACGGTTTGCTAGTAAAGGTACGATGTACTGAAATTTGGACACTGCTTATATTACAAAAGTGTTTTGAGTAAATTTTTGACTGGATAAATTAGAGAGAGAAATAACCGGTGAAGAAAATATACTATTCATTAATTGTAAAATTCAATGTACCGTTCTGAATAACCTAACAGAAAACTTAAATAAGAAATCACAGATTTTAACAATCAAAAGTTTGATATCACACAGTAACGACACCATCCATTAAAATAGGTCGTCGAGAATTTGAAGAAAGCTAGGAAGCATATAAGGAACCTATTTTTCCTCTATTTTTTTTCTATGCACTGCATTTCAAACAGATGGTGCTTGTTGAAGCATCAATAGAATCTATAAAGATTGAAGTGCACATGATATGCAAAATTATGAATTTCATACTGCAGCACAGAAAATAAGAATGCATAACAGATGAAAATTTTCACATATACGGTGAGAGCACCAATATGATAACATGTTGTGTTACAAATTACACAGATAACTTCATAGTAGCTTGAAACAAAATAAACTGGAATGAGTTGAGTGAAAAGTAACAAATGAGTAGAATTAACACCATTGAAAAACCTGACTTGTAACACCATAATAGAAGAGTGAAGTCTGCAAAAACTAATTGTAACGCATTGGCATGAAGTAAATTTATTTAAAATTAGTTACTTGACGGCGACTCGTTTTACAATAATTTCCACGGGATTACTTGTAGCTTTCAATAAATCAACGATAGCACCTGGTGTACAACTACTTACTAATTGCCCATTAACTTTCCAAATTTTATCACCAATATGCAGTGTTCCATCAATATCCGCAGCACTACCACTGCTGATCATTCGGATGTAAATTCCTAAAATATTTCAGAAATTAGAACGAAAACAACTAGCCAATGGAATACAGTCAAATATGATTAAGCTTCGGATATCATAGACCTCTTTCGGAAAACAATGCACAACCAGCTGTAACATCTCAAGAATTTCGTTGCAGTGAATAACAGGACACTGCTGATAGTCTTGGAATAAAACTGTACCAACAATATCAACATTTCGGGTGGTTTTTTTGTCTTTGTTGTCAACAAAGCTTGTTTATAAAATTGAACATATGGGGAACCTTCTCTGTTCAAGAACAAAAACCACCGGAAATTCGCATCTGTATTGATGATATATAAAACAAATCAAAAATTATGGATAACAAATGTTAAAATCAGTAACATACCATCAAAACCAGTTTTCTTCGCTAAGCTAAGACCAAGCGAACCCGTATGAGACTTTTCCAAAACAACTCGTACAGTCTGTTCGCCTTCCTCACCAATACTTATTTCTTTGTTTGAGTTTTGTAAGCCTATTACCACTCTGTCACCACCCTTTCTTAATATATCCACCAATTGTTGATGTGTTAGATTTTGCACCCTCGCATTATTTACCTGCAAAAAATGCCTCAAGCACAAACATTATATACAATAAAAAAGTCCCGCAAATTATTTCTGATCTACCTCAACTTACCTCGTAACTGTACGTTTAGAACTCTTCGTATACGAAATTTTAACATCTGAAAAAAACCTAATGGAAATAAAGCCAGAGCTCGCGCTAGTGAATTTAGAACAAACCAATATAATCCTGTCTCCCACTTGAATATCGGGACATGAAAGTGCAGGCTCTGCAGTAATCTCCTTTACATATACAATACCTCCGCTAGATGCAATTTGAAAACCAAGGCTACCAGATCCATTACGCTCGAGGGTGACCATCGAAATATCGGAAAGTGACGGTTCCACAATATCATCCAGGTCATCAGCCCAATCAAGATTTGGCTTCTTTCTACAAGTATTGGAGCTATATAAAATTACTTTATTCGATAATTTCTCGTAAAATACAAAAGAATTTTCCAAAATACCTATAATCCTGCACCGATTTCCAGTCGTTGCATGAATTTTTTTGTTGATCAACATCACTCTTTCCCATTTTAAACCAATCATTTCCATTTGTCTTAAATGGAAAATATGGTGTTGTACTGGGCCGTTTTGGAGAATGCTCTACCAATTCATCATCAACACCTTCAAACTTATATATAGATACGACTGGCACGTCGTATCCCATTCCACAATCGACCTCGTCGTTCAACGAAGTTTCCGGCCGTAAATATCTGAAATCAAAATCATCAGCGCTGATAACAAACTAATGTACTCTAAATAAAGAAATGATACAGCAATCGATAGCTCTAGATTCTTAAAATATACCAAGCAGTTGCGTTTGAAAAAGTTACGAGTACTGCTGCTGCCTCGTCTTAAATAGTTCGTAGTATGTTTTTTAAAGTCTTCTCTTACTGTGAAGTGAGAGGCAGCAGTCCACGACAGAGAAGTTAACTGTGTTCTGCAGACTGTTGGAATCGCATCAGCTAAATACGATTCAGAATACAAATCTTTTTCTCTGACACCCACAGCAAAGGGTAGAATATTTCGCATAACAGTTAATACGAAAAAAATAGAACAAGTCAATAAAAGAACAAGTATAATCAACAATATTTCATCACAGTGACAACCTCCAAAAATTGTCCTTTTTGTTCAAAGAACAAAGCAGTAATTCTCGCTTCAGTATTCGATCATTTACTTACGCATCCATTTTTCTAATAACAACAATGAAACACACAACAGGAACTTACCCCAACTTCGATTCATTTCTAAGGTTTGATAATAAATCTTCGCTATTCAAATCAGGTAAAGTATCACCAACAGCGCCAAAGTCACTCACAGCTCTCGTGCGTTTCTTCAGGATATTTGAATATTTTCTTGGTGGTGGTGGCGTTCTTGATCGCAGTCCTACAGATCATGCAATATGATTTATGGTATCGAAAACATTTATATTTCTGATTCTGACTCAATCATTGAAAAATACTAACCTTCATTAACAGAGAGTGAATGATTTTTATATCCTTTCTGATCTTCAGTCATTATCTTGTCCTTAATAATGCCAGAAGCAAGTGCAGATGTTATCGCTTCTAGCCTTAAAATATTGAATTTTACTACAAGTTTTATCCTATCTTACAAAACGATGGAAACCTAATCAATAAAAAAAGAAAGTTATAAAAAGTTCTGGAGTAATTCTTAATATCAAATGTTATTTCTGACGAAAATCTTACGATACTAAACTGATTAGCGTCAATCATCACGGAATGCGAAGATTTCTGCCAATTAATACAACTTAGCTAAGAAAATATTAGTGGCTCTAAAACAATACACAGAGTAAGAAATATTAGTCGAAGTTAGGATTTTTATTGAATAGAAAAATAAGGATCAATCACTTTTTCAGCAAAGATATGCTTTGTGAATTTGTTGCTGCCGTTAAAACAAAGGTATCTTATCAGTAACCTCGAAAACAATACAAAAAATATGAAATGACAGAGTGTATCTGCCAATCAATCTTGCCGCCCAGAAAACAGTAGAGAGGACAATTGCCGTTTCTGAAATCAGACAAATATGCAGTCCAAATGAAAGGCCAAAACAACCATATACTACCTCATGTTGCCACGCACAAGAAAAATCCATATTTCATGATTACTAAAAAAATTAACCTACCTAAAAATCTTTAGATGAACAAAATTGCCACACTTTTTCACTAAATCGACAGTTACATGCCTATCCTTACCAATAAGTGACACATCATTGACACTTAGCAGTCGATCACCAACATTTACTCCCTGAATTTTTAAAATCCTTTTTCAAGTTAAATTAAAACCTGGAATAAACAATTACTCCCGACGAAAAAAACTACAACAGAAGAATTTCTGAGCAACTAACTCCTTTTTTTCCGACTCCTCCTTCCGATACAGATTTCACATATACACCTTTTACACCATTCAAATTACCATCAACCAATGTTAAGCCGAGCCCACTACTTGGATCTTTTTTCAGCACAATTTCCAAAGTATATCCATCACCATTCTCAATGAATTCTTCAGAAGAAATCTCTTCCAAAACTCGACCACCTAGATGAACAATATTTCATTCAACATCGGTGAATATGATAACAGCCTTATTATTTAATCCCGTTTTAGCTAATAAAAAATAACCGTGAGGTTTAAAACTTAAACACACCGCTTATTGAACTAGCTTTCGGTTTGAAGCTGGAATGATGCAGAGTCTCTATGTAATTCTTTGATGAACTACCGCTTGAGGTATATTGATTACTGTTTTCAGTAAAACTTTGTTCCGGTATGTTTGCTATGTCAGGAGCATTCATATAATACACTGGCGATACCTACAATACGATTAAAGTGAGGATTACCATTTTCAAATAGCCATTTAACAAAGATTTTAAAAATTACTCGTATATTTTAAGCACATTAGGCAATTCCTATTAACACATTCTAAACTATACTATTATTCAACAAACGATAATTCATCCTTGCAGAGCTAGACTTACCATAGTGAAAGCAAGTCTGAAATGTGAGCTCAAATGAACAATCATTTGATAGTTCTTTCAGCTATGCTATAACATGCATTTAGGATACTAAGAGCTATTTTAAGCATTCTCAATAACTTAAGAAGAAAATTAATACAATTAGAACCTCTTCCATAAAATTGGTGTCCGCACCAACATCCGGCATTCTACGGAACTGGAAAGGACTATCACGCCTTAAAGTATGATTCCATTGTCGCATTTTTATCATAAAACGATGTTGCGAAGCCGCAAAACGGACAAAATAGGCACTTCTGGAAAACAAGTCTCTGAACCACATTGACATACAACACTGCACAGAGTTAAAAAAAGTAATGCTAAGAAGCAAAGCATTTTTTATAACCTAATGAAACATCATTAGCGCATGCTACACAGAACGAACTTTCAGCATACTTTGTATAATGGTCGGTATAGAAGACATTAATGGATGGTTCGTGGATTTCAGAGGCAATCACGAAGCGCTTCTTATCAAACTGTAAAGTTTGCGTATTTTGCCAAAGGTGTTCTATCTGGGCATGCCGGACACCGCTACAAAGCAAATATCAAGTTAGAAATAATACAGGAGATTTGCAAGAAAAAATTCCGGAATGCTTTCATTATTTGAAGCTCAAAATCCAATGTAAACCTTTCTTCTTCGAAAAGTACAATACCACGTGTCATAATCCCAATCCATTGTGCCACGCCAGTTTCAGGATCACCAAAGGGTGTATTACCAAGATTTATAGATGGTTTGGATGCAAAAACACGATGCAAATGAGCACCATAATCAGTTAGTCGTTGACATAGCTGAAAACAGAACGACAGAAATTACTGCTTTAGTATGAATGCTTTGAAGAAATTATATGAGTTTAGTCAACAACATTTAAGTGACTCAACACTTTGAATTAACCCGCAAATCTTTAGGGAAAACAAATTACTTAAGCTAATAGCACTGATTTAAAATAGGTACTACTTTTTCAGTAGCGCCTTTGCTGAGTGCTCTACCAGACGCTGTAGATGGAAAAAAATTTCTGCGTATTCTGAAATGTCTACACCTAAGTGCTGAAACATGAAATTGAAGAAATCCCATTACCTCATTCCTCATCATACAACAACTGCTAAAATATCAAGATATGTTATAAAAACACCGACTCAAGCTTTGCATTATATTTTGAAATCATATAATTCTTCAGAAATTACAAAAAAGCTCACCAAAATAAAACGCTTCTCAGCATCTTGTTGTTTCATTCCGCGGTATCTTCCATGCTTTTTGATTATATCTTTGCTTACCGCTTTTTCACCGTAGTTATCCAAGTACCTCTAAAAATACAACATGACTGGTGTACAAATCACGCTAATGCGAGGTGATCCATAGGTCATTAAAAAAAAGTAAAACGCATGTCTCTGATTACTGAACGTCGCCTTGCCTCTTTGTTCAATTTTTCACCAGTACATTCATTTCTAATCATGGAATTTCAAAAAATTTCTTATTTAGTAGCTGACCAGTTACATTTGTTTGCAAAAACAGATTATAAACCAAGTGGAACTATTAATAAATGATAATTCAATAACAGTTTAAGGTTTAAAAAGTCGGGGTAAGACATTTAATAGGTCCTCAGCGGCGACTCCATCCTCGTGGTAAAATACATATGCCGAAAATAGATGAATAAAATTAAAACAAGGGATAATAATAGATCTTTAAGTTCCAGAAGAATTGAAATATGACCTTCGGTATATAATGTTGCAGATCAAAGTAGTCGAAAACTGTTACATTAGGTTGATCAGAATATTCGCTTTGTAAAGCATATGCAGCTAAATCATACAATAAATCACGTTTTGGTTGAATGCGATCATCCAAGACGTCTCGTCGTAGTTGTAAGTACAACTCATGAAGTACGACTTCAGTTCTGAAATGGTGCACGGGAAATATTAGTCTTGCCGAATGTTTTTTAATATAAAAATTATATAATAAAGTAGTGTAATATAACATGAGAAGCCTCATTTCGAATTTTAGGATCAACACACATCTCAAGAAAGTGTAGCGACGATTATGAAAAGCGTAGCACCTTCTACAGCCACAGGGAAGCCTCGAAAAAACAGAACGAATCAGGTAACATAAAAACAGAAAAAATCGAAAAATACATCATCAATGACGAAAGGAATTCTTTCCTTCTCACTATAAAATAGAATAACTTTCTATATTAAGAAAACAAACCGTATAAAGGCGATTGATGCTGGATAATATCGAAAACGTAAAAATAACATATAAAGTCTTTTGGATGAACCATATTGTCTCGCATTTTTCCAACCTGGTGGTGCGAATTTATCCAGACGCTGATGGCCATCCAAAAAGAAGTGCTCACCATCTGCAAAACTAACAGAAATTGAGAACAATTTTAATTTTGAAGTGTTCGTAAAATAGATGTTACATACAAGGAGGATTACAATATTTCGAATTCATGATAATACCATACCTAAGCATCTGTGAAGATTACAATAAATTCTTAAACGTATCAGTAGCCTTTTGGAACGATCAAAAAAAGTACATTTGACTGCAACGAAGATCACAAATATTACCATCCGATTTCTCGTAATAGGTGTTCAGTAATAAGTCATCAAATAACTAAGCGATGAGACTGCTAAGTAACAGCTAACAAACACAAAATGAATTTAAACATACCCCGCAGTATAGTTAAACCGAAAAATGAGTTCTCACTAAAATTCATGTGCCTCATGACAACATCAGCAATTTCCGAAGCAACAGCATCCGAACGACAGCTCACTTCAACATGCTTTCCACTAAGCAGCTCAACAGTTACGTCCGTATGTTCTATTCTATGTAGTGTCACCTTTTTCTGTAAAAAAAAAAAAATATTTAGTAAGGATTTAGTCACTCTTTCAATAAACATAAATATAAACATTTGCTTCACACAATAGTCTGTTTCTCTAGCAAATATTTGATGTAGATTATTAATAATAAAGAATGCTGAAATTCGAAGTGTATATCTCACTCTACGTTCTAGTGGTTGCTGCAAAACAATGGAAAGTGTCCCTAAATCCATAGCGATGGGTACAACATGCAATATAGCAATAATTACTAAAAAATTGGAAGTGTATAAGACTACATCTGCATAAAACAACAATGACTTTTCTTTGAGCGGGTGCCTTCAAACATATGGATGACGCGTTCGCATTTCTAACAAATTCTGGTCCCGTTTTCAACTGAAATTAGCCACATAAGAATAAATGGGAAAACTCGAACCAATGCCTTAAAAAATGTTTTCGTTCAAAAAAGACTGATGCGCAGTAATACTATCAGTAAACTGTTGATTCATCAAAGTCACGAAAAATTTTCAGCAGTCTTATGCAGTGTGACAAGTCAGTAGCTTAATATCCTGCATTAAATAAACTGTCACTGACAACGAACCACAAATATCAAAATGCGCCGTCCCTTGTTTACCATAATATATCAAATTAATAATAGAGTACGCCCTTACTCTTCGTTTAAAATGTTTTGATGAAGATTTTCGTCCACTTATCCTATCTGGCAAAAGCGAATTCCGTCTCATGAACTGCTGTTCTAAAAACAATTCAGAAATATAAAGGTCAACTTTGGCCATCGGTCAAAATAAAACTTTTCACGCATTAATAATATTGCAACAAGGCTTTACCATAGGTCCACACCAGAATAACAGAAGAATTGTTCCGCGAAGAGCAAGAAAAATAAAAGCTTCATAACAATACTACCACTTAATCGCAAAAAACGAAAACAGGACCAATAAATAGTTAAAAAAAAAAAGAAGAATAAGTAACTAACCAGTTGCGATTGAAACATTAGGAGTTTCTTTTGTGGCTACGAACCCTTTTATCCTGGATTCCATATCTGACGATGGTAGTTGCTTTCCATTTTCCTGCATTGAAGTGAATGAGTACAGACATATTTATCAAAGAATCTTTTTTCCAGAATATTTCATGAAAATAACTCACTTTTTTTGACAAAATAACCTCTGGCACCTCCTTATTTTTATTATTGGTCAGTGACTCACGGTTAGACTGTTCAAGTGAACCTTGTCTATCGGCAATCTACAACAGATATTAGAATGATTTCATGCATAACGTAATAGGAGAGCTAAAGAGACAAAATTGCAGTGATAACGGATTGGTTCATTCTATAAATCACATGGAAGTCGTCGAGAAGACATGGAATATTAAAATAAAGGAGGCGATAAATGAAGAAATCCTGAAACTGCATCGAACTTACATTTTCCTGACTTGGAGGCAGAATTGAAGATGAAATCATTTTTTGTCCTTCGTCAGCCTAAAAAGTGTGCAATAAAATTAATATGAATGAGTATTTACAGACGAATGTAAGAAAAATGGAGGTGATCGAAATTTGGGTTTCTCGCTCAAATTTTTCAACAATTGAGACGATAAAAAATGTTAACTTCTCACTGACCTCCGAAATAGGCGACAAAGAAGACAGAGAGCCACTACAATCTTGGTTGATGCTGGTAGAAAACAGCTTATGGCCATTATAATCCAAAATTTCGCTCGCCTTAAATCGTAAACTCAATTTGAACACTTAGAACGATGAAAACCTGACTCATTCAAACAATAAGCTATGAAGCTAGGTAGTTCATTTTCAGTATCTCTGACTATGTTCTCTGCTGAGCACTTTATATATAACTACATAAGCCCGTAAATATCCCAATAAGTGTACTTCATCATACAAAATTAAGGCTCGACATTTCTCAACCATTTCTTGCGCAGTGATAATCAATATCCCTATTAACGCGATCATAGTTATAAATCTACCTTTCCAATATGTTCTGTGCTGATAGTTGATGGTATGGAGGTTAATTCATCGGTAGAAATATTTTCTCTATATTCCACAATATCATCATCGTATGAAAGAGATCTCGTTGGCAAACTGCTTTGCATTAATTTTTCGTCCTCTTCATTTTGTTCCAAAAGCACCTCAATTTTACCTAGAGATAACTTTTGTTGTTTTTGTTCCTGTAGTTGACTGCCTTCCTGCAAACAAATATCACATATTTTTAATAACACAAAACATTAAAAAATTATGCACAAAGATGCTGGTTCTTTTTACTCAAAAAGCATAATCATGCCTCACCAGTTAATGGACGCAATTTTACATTCCAAAAAAGTGAATGGATGAGGTTCCTCCGGCAATTCTGTCCATTCGCTTTATATCGCACAGCTGTTTCATGTTTATCAACTACTCCGAAGAAAAAATTCGGGAGACCATTAGGACATTACTAGAAAGTTACTCTAGCAATAGGGTAAGCTTTCCTTGAAGAAATCGGAAGAAAATTTGTTGAAGTAAAAACCCTTCTTTTGAATCAAAAAATACATGATGTCGAATCTTGAGAAAACTATCAAATGATTGATAAATCGATCTCTCACCACTCACTTTAAAAGATAGTCTTCCTATTACATGAGATAAAAAACTGACACTTAAATCTTTTGCTTCCGGAGAAATTTTTTCACATGCAATTGGTACTGGAATAAATGGATCTCTTCCTGACAACCTCCAAATGCCCTCTTCAGCATCAAATAGGTCTGCTTGAGTTGTTTTTCTCGATTTTTCTTTTTCTTGATTTTCACAAGTACCACTCTAAAATGACGTCGTCATAATATTCATGCATCCTCTACAACTAATTTAGGGAACATAATACTTTCGTAATGCATCATCACTCCACAATCCGGGAAAAGTTCAATGTAACATTTTTTTTCATTTTCCTGTTACTTCCCAAAATATACTCAAGGTCTTATTTAAAAATAAACAACTGTTATCTAGGAATACAAAACCTTGCTTGTTCCAGCTTCGTCCCAGTTTAAATTCTTTAAACCATCGTTTTCACTAAGTGAATTTGGCATGTATTCACCAGAAGAAATGTCCAACTGAAATAAATTATATTTATACAGCAACATAACATACTGACGTGCATAATGCATGTGTTTTTCATATGCAAGAATAACTTGGAGATAAGAATCTGTGCATGCATTTTGACTCACATAAGATGTTAAAAAGCACTGCTTTAATTCATCCGCTGATTCGACTGGTAATGTCGACTTTTTAAGTGCATTAATTTTGTTCCGAGCTAAATAATGCAGTACAACCTAAAGGTTTACTTCACACTTACATCATCGATATCCTCCGCTTCATCACCCATAACCAAGATATACATTTCTGCCAGCAAAGCCTTTGGATTTTGAATTGTAAGCTTATTTTTAGCCATTTGCCCAAGGCTGGAAAACAGTATGGATTACATTTTTCATGTTAATAAAAAACCAGGGCCGGAATTTACAAAAGCTGAAAGATAGCGAAGAGTAACATTAAAAGCTTTTTATTATTTCTCGAAAAGGGAAGAATAAAACAAAAAATGAAAACTTGTTGCTTGAGAAATATTTTAAGTTCAAAAAGGAGAGTAACAGTTGTATATTCCGTTAATTGTTCTACAATTCTTCAGAATATATGCCATCAGTATTTTACAAATAACTGCAAACAACCTCATTAGTTCCGGCCAAAACATGGGTAGTAGTAATAACTTAAAACGCATAAAAATCATAAGGATTAGTGAAATAGCAAACAAACCGAGTAACGGATGGCCGTGTAGCAATATGAGCCACAGTCATTACATTCAACAAAGAAAACAAATCTGCATTGCCTGATTCAGCTGCACCAGCAAATCGAATAACTTCTCCGAGGCAATACACATGCACAGCACCTAAACATTGATGGAAATCAGTAAGAAGGACAAGATTTATCGAATAGTTAACTTGTATGTGCGCAAAACGACTCATGTTGTGTTGTTTCGAAATAAATAGTTTGGAATGTTTATGCAAGGATTTAATAAATTTTGAGCATTTCATGAAACTAAAACTCATGTACAAACAAAATTCGAGACCTTCAGCTGCATTTTAGACAATTTCCGTTAGTTTTTAGTTGACGGAGAAAGTAAAGAATGAAAATATTTTTGATTAACAATGCTGTTATATGATTATGATTTAATAAAGATAAATATAAAAATATTAAAATCTGAAGACGGCTTCTTATCAAATCCTTCGTTTAGCAAGGAATTTTATAAATTAGTAAGGTTTAGGGAAAAAAAGTATATATATATATATAAAACCTGGATCAACATCAGTATTGGCTTCTTGCATCTCAGGAGGCACATATTCGTTGTCTACTTTATCTTTCGAAACAGGTTTTATCTGAAAAACCGACGAGCAAAACAATTAGAAAAGAACGTGAATTAGACTAGAACATCTGAACATAATATTATATTATTTCATCCGATAATTTTCTATCTACAAATCAACTCTAGAAGTTTCGAAAAATTTTTAAAAAGCTTAATAAGCAAGCTATGTGCAAACCTCAAGTTCACCATCGGTGTGTAAAACGACATGTTCGGGAGAGAATACTCCTGCAGGTGTTTTAGTAAGCACTTCACAACCAATGATAATTAATGCAAGCAATTCATCATCATTTAAACCACATCCACGCACCTCGATTATTTCTGACAATGATACGCCGACGTCACCCATTAAATTTCTGGAAAAATACTTCATGACTGCTATTTTGAAGGGTCCCTCCGCGGATTTTGCAGATATTTATGGATTTTTTGGATATTTCATGAATTAATCCCCTTCCATGAAATGATCATATTTTTCTTCCCTCATGGTCCTTTTTCTGAGAATGTACACAACTCCTTCATTCTCAGACATTTTCTCCGACTTTAACAGAACGATAAAATATAGAAAGAAAACGAAGTAGGTGAACGTAAGAACTGCCTAACAATCCAGTCTTTTCTCTCACAATTATAATTACATAATTCTGACACTACCAGCAACTACCAGATTCTTAAGCAATTCGACAACCTCACTTTTCCCTGAGGAAGATTTAATCACGATGGCTTATTTTTGCAGTACTACTCATGTGTGCAACTTTTATCAGATTTGTTGCTAATAAATGAAATATGTGATGCCATAACTATGTAAATAAGAAAGAATAATTTGTGGTAGCATTTACAGTGGCGGAAGTAACCCCGGCGGAACAATTAAGCTCGGCATGCCCACAGGAAACGTTTGAAACAAGTAATTATTTTCCAAACTTACGTTAGGTTATGAAAGTCGATGATCTCAGACGGTGCAATTTCGAGAAAAATTAATAAAATTTGTCAAAAATTAAACAATAATTGCAGACAATAGACGAAAGAAATGACATCTCATGCGGTCAACGCATTATGTATCATTTTTGCAGGCGAAAGTAAAGCACAAAATTGAAGCGGACGATGTGAAAGTGAGGATTTGTTAGATTCGAGGTAATGCAGCGAGATGCCGCTTACAGATATGACCGAAAGCATTGATCAGAAACATAACACGGACATATCAACGCCCTTTCCCCCCTCCTCCAATCTCCCAAAAATACTAAATCAATGACAGCATCATTCACCGTACAGTCCTTTGCAATTGTTGCTCCATTGTGAAAACGCGAAGTCTCCCTGCTCTGTGCCGAGGATGACAGCAGACGACGCAAATGCCACCCTTCCCTTCTTCGCCCACCCCTTTAGTAGAACATGGCTGGTTGCAATGTTAACTTTCTACCAAATTACATCATTTCACCGGATGATTACTATTCACTCTGTGTTGTGTGGCTTGGAAATGGTGGGAGAATTCTCCTGTTGCAGTCCATCCAAATTCTTAAAAACTATGGCCGTTCCTTTTTATACCATTCAGAGGTCATTGGGACTTCACATCCAAACATACGTGGAAAGGAGACCGACCCATATAGCTACGTATGTTGGACCTATGACTTTAGTTCAAAACTATTAGTTTTTCATATCGCATGTTTTCATGTCTTACACATCGCACAATCAGTAAAATGCATAAAATACATAGTTTCTATGTCTTTTCTATCATTCTGAAGTATATAAACCAAAACAATGCACTACCACAGAGATTTTATTCATAATAAAAAATGCATCACTCAAAACAAAAGAATGTTTATTGCAGCATAAAAGTAATAATAAGAAAAACGAACGAATTAAGCAAACATTGGATTGGCGCTCGCAACCGCATCTAACAATTTACCATCCGCCACTGCACCACTCTGAAGAAAAAACAGAATATCAGAAAGGAGGCAGCAAAACAGAGTTTAGAAATCAAATTTGAGGACAACATCAAAATAAAAATGGTTTACAGATACATATGTTTCGGAAGTATCAGCAAGTTGAAATACAATTGATAACGAAACTCAGAACCATCAACAACCAGGCAACAAAGGATTAAATGAAAAGTGGAACAATTCAAATTCTGAGACTTATACCTGCTCATATCAATACCCAGATAATTTTTCTACTTCGAAGAATAATCGTGTACGACAAAGGATTGGGTGCAAAAATCATTACTTACGGAGTGATACTGTACTTTTTGATCTGGAAAGGTATTATTGAACTCAGCAGGCACCGCCGATATCTGTCTATTCCACATCTCACACTCCATTTTCTCCGGTGAGCACATCGTCCGAATTCCATGTTGGTACATGCCATACCTAAAAGAAAATATGTTAACGCTCACTATAAACTAACAATCATCTTTGCAGTATAAATGACTTTGACTAACATAAAAAATTTAAGTTAAAAAACAATATTTAGCGTCTTGAAAAGTAAATTTTTTCTATGGATTTACAACTTACTCTCTGGGCTGTGCCGCTACATTTCCATTGTTGGAGACGAAGTTGGAAGGGAAGCATGATGGTGCAGTACCATTTATTTGAGAATAACCTTGTGGGGGAGGATATGTGCTAGGGGGATAAGGACAACACATAAAACCACACTGCGAGTATTGCATGCTACAGACAGATGGATTAAGAGACGGCCTTAAGGGTTGCGACATTGGCATGTTAGGCCCAGAAGTTTGCGCCAATGATACCATCATCGGAGTGTTCATGGAAATATTGGAGATTGAAGATGGTGGATCTGCTGGTTGTAGCGATTGTGGATACATGGGTCGTCGACATGGCCCTTGCATCAGCATTCCATTCTCATTAGCAAAGGTGCATGGATAAGGAGCCGGAACTGATGCCTGAGAAGAACAAGGTGGCATCAGAGGAGGCATATGGCCACGGGTCATTTTGATTGCTTCATGCTCATGCATCATCCGATCCCATTCTGTTTTAGCTTTATCATACATTATTTGTTGTTCAAGTGTGCGCATTTTCTCCAGTTTTGCATTGCGATCTTGTTCCCTAAAATGTTTGTCAGCATAAACATAAACATTAGGCATTCAGCGCATCAGGTGTGCTGGTGCAATGGATACTGCATACTAGCGGTCGAGCCGGTTAAAATGTAAATCACCTAGTCAAACTCTTCCACTAAAAAATATGCAAAAAACGTAGTTAACAATCGGTAAGAGAATCTAATATAAGCAAGCTAAAAAAACTTTGCTTAAGACCTACGGTGCGCTGAAGAAACTAACCTTCTCGCAGGCTGACTGTTGTCAGTAGACGTACGAGACAATTTTGAAGGGGGCTCAAAAAGTGAATCTTGCGTCATACGTTCCATTCTTCTATAAACACAAACATGTTTAATTGAAAGAAATTTGTTTCAAATTTGCAATGAAATAGAAAACGTTAACAGTAATGAGTTAAGCACCTTAATGGATTATCGCCAATATCAGTGTGATCATCAGGGTTGAGTAATTCACCAGAAGGTGTTTCAGAAGGATTACTCGGTGGGTTACCGCTCGACTCTCCGCTTGTCTGCGAAGGCGTTGGAAGCATAGTACTTGATGGACTGCATACGGAAGGTGTACCACATGATCTCATCGGTGATCCATTCCGATAGTCTTGCTGAAATTTGGGAGTTAAAACCTGAAAAACGTAAACCAGTATTTTGATTCATTTCAATGAAATTTTCAACGTAAAGTATGCATACTTTAATTTCATCAGAAAAAAATTCAAGTTTTCACGTCAATGGTCATAATGTTGTTTCACAGGCTTTTTGCTGTAATTACAAAAATTCTTTGCAAACTCTGTGAAAACCTCGAGTTCAGAATATTGCCATCTCACGTAGATAAATGAGGCATTATTTCAAAACGAAAACAAAGACCATAAAAAAAAAAAGAAAATATAACAGGACAATAAATAAGCTTAAGACTAACCACACTACGCCGTTTTTTCTTCGATATGGGAGCAACCTGACAATCATCTGTGAAATCGCATTTCGAAGTGCTAGGCCGGCAATTCGCTTCATGCCAAGCAATAATTGACTCATACTTTTTTTGGCGTACGCCAATAGCTGCATCATTTGCCATCTTCGATGAAAATACATATATTCGCCTTCCAGGCTGAAAAAAAAAACATTGCCTTCATGCCAAATGAATATTACGCAATGTTATTACATCGTCCATGATACCAAAAAGATGAAAGTGGATAGGATTCTATGGGTCCACTGCACATGAAGTAAAAAAGTTAAACAAGAAAACACATTTGCCAAAAAAATAAACAATTGGAAATTTTCTCACCGGAGAACCATTTCCAACATACTGTCAAACTGCCTCCCCCTCCCACATCTCAGCATCACCCAGTGACAAAACCAAAATTTACTTTTTGCTGTCGAAAAGATAATTCGCACTTGGCAGCACATGGTGACTTGATAGAGTCTACAGTAGGAACCTGAATGTCTTCGCCGCAATGAGCATAACGGCTTCCAAATCCAGGCCACGAATTCGCTGATGGATAACTCGGTGATGGTGTCGAGGTTTGCTTCAGCGTGACCGATGACGCTGATGTCGGCTTTTTGATATTATAAAAATCAATGCATTCTTCGCCCAGATCAGTAGTCGTATCGGCTTTCGTTTTGCAGTGCGCAAATGTCGCGAAATCATGGTTGCGATACTGCGAACCATGTGCAGCACCTCCGTTATCCAGTGGCATTTTAAAACCTGCAAATTATTGAAAATTATCTTAATCACCTGCAACATACAACTTTCAAAGACTTAAGGTTTTAGATAGCAATGGGACAGCACGTAATAGTGGTAACAACAAAAGTTTTTGTACAAATACACTAAAATAAAACAAATGATGAGATAATGTGATCGTATAATACCTCATATAATTCGCTCACTGCCATTAACAAATGCTTCAAGGAAAAGCATGAAATTAATTCTGACTAATAAAGAAGATTATGACGCAAACTTATGTTTCCTATCTCTCTTCCCTCCCTTCATCCCATTATTGTGAAGTCAACATGGTAAAGCTTCTCCAAGAGTAACTTTCTGTTTGGATAACTAAAAAGTGTACTGCACTTTCACACAGCCACATCTATTACAATATTTAATTTATGATCAGTTAGACCTTCACTACAACTCAGAAAGTAGTCTGAAAAAAAGTGGCATGGTAACTGCCGGACATGAATGCAAAATCGGTGCGAAGTCCGGGAGAGCAAAAAACAAAACGGATACTTCTAATGATTGTTTAAGAGCAAGCGACCAACTGAACAGAAGGACTCACAAATCGATTACCATGAAATTGCTTTGCATAAATTAGCGGACGAAGTATTAAAATTTTTTAAGACAATATATTGGAACCATAAAGCGAAACTGCATAGTCCCATATATTCAAAGTATGTGCTTAGTGGAACTTAATGAAGCATGAATCACCATTCAAACTAATTGAGTCGTGGACTTCATATCACCGGCCCTCGCCCCCCTCCATACCACCTGGCGACCACCGCCATTTACGTGAACAATCCACTTCAACTCGCCTTACATCGTAACGAAATCCCAAACCAACGGAGGCGCATTGCAAACGCCGCGTCTCCACCCTGTTTTCCCATATCGATCGCAGTTTGAACTGGACGTTTGTGACCGGTGAAACCAGGAAAGTTTATCTTAAACTACATCTTTAAGTTAGCAATTAATGGAAGAGAAACGTTTTGTATTTTGCAAACTGTGACCATCTTTGGAATTTCCGTGATTTACAACAGCCACGTCATTCCACTTTGCTGAATTTTCTGGCGAACAAAGTTTATAAGTTAAATTTTGGCCTCATGTTTTCAATGGTAGCACTGAGGTATGAGAGAAGGTAGGACTTTTATACTATTCATAATGCTGAGAGATGCACAAACGTTTTATAAAATGAAATGCTAAAATCTAGGATTTCCACATGGTCTACATGTTGCGTCCACCTCAGAATATCCTACTTCGGGTAACTTATCTACTCTAAGGCATTAGCGTTGAATATGAAACCCATCCAAGACAGTCTGTTTCTTAGCTCATGCAGTCATACCCAAGATGATTTCACTTTTGGTAATTAATCACAGACATTTCGGCCAGAGGAAACGAATCGGTCGAGCAGTTGGCATAATGAGCCTTTACTAGCATGTTCATTAATAACTTCCATCATCAGCTCAGCAGGAGAGCTTCCCAGGGGAATCCTTTCTTTTCGAATTTCAAACCCTCGGAAAAAGCCCAGACGTGAAGGACTGTTGCATAACGCGGTCATATTGTTTGTAGTTGAAAATCTCAATACGATTGTGCGATTTCTAAAGCCGCTGCGAAACGATGGAGGCTCTGGAACTGCTTGCCACCTTGACGGAGGCGAAAAGGCCATGGGGTTACCAGACGTCCATGACTGTCACATTCGAGGTGAACATGTGCGAACAGCTTTTTCTCTGATTTCTTCCGTGCAAAGATGACGATGATTGCAATCTGGTTAAAAACGTCTTATGTGATCCATCCAGGCCTGAGCGGAATGTAATCGATCGTCCAACTTTTGGTCTTGAAATTTTGTCGGATAAATCCTACCAGAGAGCCGTTATCAAAATCAAGGGGAGGAACTCCTTCCACCGACAACTAATAAGAACTCTGCAGTGTCGATTACATCATTTTCAAGTAAATGAAAAAAATACAAGCTTGATAGATCACAGGACTTTGCTGAGCTAAGTTGACCCGAAATTTACTATTGTATATAATTCTTATCTGGATTGAAGTTAATGTCGTTGCGTGGAAAATTTCCATACTTCTCCATTTCATATGTATTGTAGTATCTGAGGCTTTTATTAAACACGTTTTCATCAGTATAGAAATCTGATTATCAATGTTTATGTCATCGTTTAGATATCATATAATTTTCGGCTGCTTGTTCTGTTTATAGTTTCTTACTTCTCTCGGCAACAATGCAACGTTTTGAAATGCAAATTTAGGTTACCACTGATACTTGAAGTACTTAATCGGTGCGGAGTTTATCGTGCAAAATACGAAGTACGGAAGCATGACTCAAGTTCGGGCTGTTTATGAATTCGAAGCACAGCCAAATTCTGGAGAGTTGTCTATATCAGTCAATGAAGTTCTTATAGTTGTTAGAGAAGTACGTCTTTTCATGATTTATTTTGAAAAAAAAATCAATTTTTAAGTTCTGTTTATAAACTTCATAGAATGAAGCTAGCGTAGGAATTTCTCGTAAGTTTAAAGGGTTGATCATGTTTTTAATGGCAGCTAGAGGTATAAAGTCTTAAGGGGATTAAAAAAAGAACAATTGCATTGTCAATACAAAATTGATCAAAGAGGTACATCTGTTACGGATTCTCGTGGACTTTTATTTCTGTAAGCATTTTTAGTACAGTTCTTTTTAACTTTTTTAAGAATTGTTTCAGGGTATCCAAGGAGGTTGGCTAGAAGGTCGTAATGCAAAAGGACAACATGGACTTTTTCCAGAATCCTACGTTGTGAGAATCAACACTTCACCTGCTCTTCCAGAAGTGACTTTTTCCTACTTTTGGAGCTTTAAGCGTCATACTTTTGCTTGATTCCAATATTCATTTCTGAAATCTGACATGCTTCGTTCGCAAACTCATCCCACTTTATACTGAATGTTCAGTAGTTAACTCGACGGAGTAGCACTTTTTTTCACAGTTTTGCCTCTAACATCGCATTGCATAAGTATTTCAAAACAAATCAGAACAGGTGGTTCATTCCGTCTTTTCAAGATATTAAAGATACTTACCCACTGGTGTAGAACTGTTACTAAAATGTGAAGACTAAAAAACCTGACTTCTGATCTTTTCTGGAAAAGTTATTACTTATTACGAAGAGTTATTTTCTGGAAAAAGGTTATGATTGCTGAAGTTTCTCCTGATAGTAACGAGAGTGAACGATTTTAGTTATTTGCAATTTTAATAGGTGTTTGGCTCTCAACGGATATGTTTGATTTCAGTTTCTACTGTTTGCAGCAGGAATTTTTTCAATTAATGAAACTACATATATAACTGTTATAAAAATTTCTTAGAGCATGTTTAACAAGATTTTTAATGTTTAAATTTACTATTCTCGAACAGTTAGTCATTTTGATATAGCTTAAAATATAATTTAATGCTTGCCACCTTACTCGCCTTCTCTACAAGCCAGCATTCTTTGCTGTTGAAATAAGTCTTTCCTCTCTATGCATGTGGTATTTTTCAACCCTTTTGATTCCAATGTATTTTAAGGCAGTTGGTATGCAACAGCACAATCCTCCAGCCGTTGCTGTTGAAGACGGCTGGAATGCACCCCCAGCATCTTCTCATTATCCACGATTGCCTCCCTCAGATGAACAGGTTTCTTTATCTTTTTATCTCTTTTGCATAGCTGTTAATAATGGATCATGTGGCCGGAAATTTGAATAGTCCCATGATTTTTCAACTGTCAGAATCATGAATCGTCCGGTTCAACTGGTCTGAATGATTGTATGAAAGGAAGGTCGTACCATAAACCCTCTGTTCCAGCAAGTTAAACCATGTCTGTAATGCTGGCAAATATTTTATAATCAGTCATTAATTAGTTGTTGATCTTAAAAAGCAAAGTCTGATGAACTATATTTATTTTCAGCAGTTACACAGCGTAGCAGCACCTCCGGTATTTGTACCGGCCTCTCAGGACGATGACGATTTTGATGACTGGACTGATGATGACGAAGAATTGTCGGTGCGTCATGCTTTTTATGTCGTTTTATCAAGCAGTTGTTTTCGTTATTTTTGATATAGGATGAAGTCTACTAGTACATTGCTTTATGCATGTTTAACTTACATTTGAAGTTATTGTTACGCTTGAATTTTAATGTACTGCAGTTACATTTTTTACGAACCGTAACTGTTGTCGTGTTTCACAAAGCTGCATCTCATTTACATTTATTGGAATTCATGTCATTTAACTTTCTTACGAATATATTTGCTTCTAACTTCACAATAATATTCATTTCTTGACATTCTCAAAAATTTATAATTTTACATTCATAATTTTTTGATCGATTAAGGTGAATATCATGTAAAAAATTATTTGTAGCAATTATTAACCCTTTTTTCACTTGCACATCTTAATGGGACTGGTGAAAAGATGCTCTTGGAGCCACATTCGATACTTAAGATATCCATTCCACTTTCGTTCGAAATTGCCAAGCTGTGCTCGAGTGCTAGAAAGTATGAGCTAAAACCAAAATGTGCCCTTATAAAATGAAGTTTTGCATATGTCGCACAAAAAAAAAATTGTACTTGTGCTTTTAATTTGAACATCAACGTTGAATGCTTACTCATTTTCACTGTTAAGATCTTATTTTTCCTTACAGGAAGTTCATTTCTGATTTCCAAGTTTTTTTCTAAACGTAAGTAGTTTCGTAAATGATGTCTTTTTTATTTAGGAAAGTGTGTTAAATACAGCGGATAATCCTGAAATGCAAAATTATACATTCAGTAATCGAACCACCAAAGGTGATGCAATGGTCAAGCAAGGAACAGTTAGAATGAAGAATATAAATCGGTAAGTCATGTGTTTCATTATCGTGTTCGCTGATCAGGAATAAAAAAAATGCTGTGACATAGCAAGTTTTATTATCAATGTACCTTTTGTTTAAGGTCAGTAGCATCTGTTGATTGTTTATAGATTCTCCAATTTCGTTAAATCAGGCATGGAAGATTATATTCTACTTCCTTCAAGACTCATATCAAAGACGGAGGAGCACCACGAAATAGTTGTAAGTTTGGTATATTTTCCAAAGAATGATCAAGTAGTAAATTTAGATTATATCAGTACTAATATTCCTGTCACTAGATGTAGAATCGAAATTTACTGTTGTTATAATATAATGTTCAATTTTTAGCTAACAGCGGATGGAGCGGAATGGATTCCAGTTGCTCAGCCTTATTATTGCATTGTCGATAAGCCGAAGAAAGAATCTAAACTAAAAGGCCTAAAAAGTTTCATTGCATATAGCGTTAAATCCTCCCTCAGCTGTATACAGGTCAATTTTCTTAACAGTTTTTGTGCATTCATTTTCTTTGGTTTAAATGGACTCATGTTTTTCTTATTATTTGGTACCCTACTTATGGGACTTTAGCTATGGTGGCTAATGCAGAACTTTCCAATGTGCTCACTACAGTGCGCTGAAATGCGAAATAAGTTGTAACTCTCATAGTGTATTATCACTCATTCAGTAGTAATCGCGACAGTAGTAGCCATTTTCATGAAAAATATATGATGAGATTAACTTAAGCAGTATCAATTATTACTACAGGTGTCACGACGATACAAACACTTTGATTGGCTTCATGAGCGGATGTCAGCCAAGTATATTTTAATACCACTTCCACCACTGCCGGAAAAACAAGTTGCTGGTACGATTGTAGAATACTAGATAATTTTGTAGTAGATTATACATATTTAAAAAAAACGGCTACTGAAGATAGAAATAAATTTTCTTTAGGCCGCTATGAAGAAGATTTTATTGAGCACCGGAAGAACATCCTACAAATTTGGGTCAATAAAGTATGCAGACATCCTGTTCTCAGTAAATCAGACGTGTGGATACATTTCGTAACGTGTACGGATGAAAAGAAATGGAAAAATGGCAAGAGAAAAGCCGAAAAAGATGAATACGTTGGAGGAAATTTCCTTTATTCTGTCACATTTCCAAATCAGCCACTCGATAGCAGTGATGTGTATGTATTTTTTTTTCAAATTTGTTGATCCTAGAAAAGACGGTCTAGTTTCGGGTCATCTCGTGAAGCCGTTTATAAAGAACGGTCTAATAATCAACTAGCAGATTTTTATTGCTTCTAAAAGTTCATTCTATCATACGCCTGGTTAATATACTTTTTAGAATTTGAAGGGATTAGTAAATTCTTCCACCAGTTATTATCATTTACTGTAAAATATGTGCTGCTGTCGGTGACCGAAGTGAAATTTGAAAAAAAAAAATA